GAAATCCTATACTGCTTCTGCACTCTCCAAGTTAAAATGCAACATTTTGGTGTGTAAATCATCACAACTTCAAGCATTGGTGAGCTAGCCCTTCTGACACCAGAATCAGAATAATCAGCAGAACATTTGGCTGTTATGATACTCACCGGTTCTCTACTTTATTAGAGAGATTTGAGACCATGATGAGCAATACGTAATATGCGACGGCCATTTTTTCCCGGCCCACCCCTACATACTAAGCACTACTGTGCCTAGTGATAGGATTACTTTCGGTATATATTTTTCACGCCTAGTGTTAACTCAAACTGTATTTAAGAATGAGATGAGGATTAATTTGATGGTTTTGAGAACTGGTTCGTTTCGTCGAATTTCGCGTGAAGCTACTCGAGTACTACCTGCGCTAGTCGTCCCTACTTTAAAAGTGATACTAGAGGGTAAACAGTCAACATCACCCATCGTCAACTCTTGGGCTACTATTTATTTCCAACGAATAGCGGGATTAACCGTTACATTATAACGCTTCCAAGGCTGAAAGGGTGAACATGTTAGGTGATGAGATTCGAACCCACGAGTGGGAAGTTCCGAGTCGAGCGTCATAACCACCAAAGCTACATTTAATTAGACTCGTATATGGGGCTTTGTTCAATGAATGCATTCAATATATATTCAAATTAGCCCTTTTATCTTTACGTAGGACATTAAAACAGCATTTTTACCTCTTAGAAATTATAGCCTTTTCTCTTTAAAAAGTGTTTCGTAAGATTATTAGAAAAGCAGAAGATCTACAAAATGGCTGCTTTTCCCAAGAAAATGTTTCTTCTGCTTGTTATTTAAATGTTTTTGTTTCTTCTTCTACTTTAGATATAGCTTTATCACCAACTGGCGTTACATCTGCTTCCAGTTCTCTCGACTCTTATCCTCCCGAAAATGTAGTAGATGGGAACAAGCAGAGTTGTATGTTCACAAGGGATGCGAAACCGCGATGGTGGCGTCTGGACATGGGGAAGGCCTACCATGTACTCTATGTGGCCATCACCATACCGTACTCAAGTGAGTAGCACCTCCCTCGTAGTAACGAACTAGTGCATGATCCTACTATTTAACTCTTCTAGAAAACGTAACGGTTATGTTTTTGATATAAAAAAAATCACAATGCGGGGCATTGTACACGTGAAAAAAAAATCACTGTTTGCAAAAATAGATTAAAAAAAATCTAAGAAATTAAAAACCATACCAGCATGTCGATACGAAAAACAAAAACTCTCATATACGGTAATATATACTGTAAGATATTAAACCCTCTCCCCCTTGGCACAGCTGCACTAACGACTCATACGTTGATTGGAATTTTCAGAGATGCTTTATTATAATATATAAATACGTATGTATATATGTATTTTCCTGTTTATAAAATATAAATAGACACGTAAAATAAACCTTAAACAGTACTATTGTGTTTAATGGTTTCTTTCATTTAGTTATATATACATTCTATAATATCGGTAACCAATTTCTTTAGTTAATTATCAAAGCAGTAGTCTTTGTAACAACTTAGGTTTAATTAAACAGGTTCTTTGATTGGCTACTTGGTTTGTAACTACCTTCTTTAATTGGCTGCTTTTTTTTTCATACAGTGTGAAAAACATATTGTAAAATTTATGGTAAATTACTGTATTACACCGTAAAATTTACAGATATACCATTACTTTTACGGTGGACACCGTATTTTTTAAAGTACTTTATATCAGTTTCACTGTAATACTTACAGATGATTCACAATACTTTTATGGTGAATCTGTTGCTTTCGTTTTTGTACACCATAAAACATGTAAAATTTACCACACGTATTACAAAAGGCAACTTTCAATATAATGTTTACGTAACACTAGTTTCTAAATAAAAGCTGCAACTATTTCATAAATGTTTATCTTTTTAATTTGCAAGATTGTTATACTCATTTATCCCCACAAATGTACTTTGATTTATATTAGCTACAGGCCTGTAACTTTCTCTGTCATTGAAAAAAAAGAGCAATTTCATGCACATTAACACGAATGACAACTTTTCTATTAAACTATAAAATAATACTATTTTCAAACACATCACACATTAATCGTTATACAGAAAGAAGAAGAAAAAAGGAAATTAACATATCAAAGAAAAGTTTAAAATATAACTCCTGTAGTTACTGAATGTTTGACCAGTAGCTTACAAATAAACACATGGATATGTACAGAGACAAGCTAAACACCTGACACAGAAATTATTTAACACATGAAAGCAAAACGCTTAAACTAAACACACGGGGTGTTTCTAGTTAAACGTATAATGATTCATTAAACACTTAAACAATTAAGCTAAACACATGAGGTATTTCTAGTTAAACATCTAATGATTCATTAAACAATTAAACTAAACACGTGGGGTGTTTCTAGTTAAACATCAAATGGTTCATTAAACAATTAAACTAAACGCAATTCTAAACACCTCAGTTGTTCAATTTCTGAAAGTGTAGACTACGTTTATCTATCAGATTTTATAGTCTCTTAATGTTTCTTTATTTATCTAATTAATATAACATACTATTAAAATTAATTCATATAATTTTGTTAACACATTGGAAACTACGCATCCTGTAGTTCAGTAATGCCTACAATACCATTTAAAATCATAATTTTTCAAAAATCCGTTTTGGAATAATACAAGCATTCAGTTTACTTTGAACAAATAATCTAAATTATGGCAATTTTAATTTTCTCGTTTACCATTATCTGTGTCATATACTAAAAATGTTCATGAAACCTGGTTTGATTTACACAGTAAATTTTTTTTTTTATATTTCATGTACAGTATATAGTGCTGGTAAAAGTAGTTCAACTACTGAAGTCACTCAGTTTGTTTAATAATTAGTGTGAGCTTATTTGTTTCTTTTTGATTATTTCTGTATGTAGAAATCGGCAATCTCTTCAGAAAAGTTCAAATAGCAACGATAATCTTCCTTAAAGCGATTCACCTAAGCATTTCGATTAATTTTAAACTTAAACCCATTATTGTACTGATTTAATGAAATAAAAGACTGAAAATCTGAATACTTTTGTTTCTTTGTTATAGTCAGATCCATTCAAAATCAGTAAAACATCTTCGCATTGTTCCATCTTGAAACTTTCCTGCTGTAGTATATACATCCGGGTTATTGTTAAACTGCTTTGATTTTCTTTTACCATTTTTAAGCAGGGTGTTGAGCGTCTCTTAGTAGTTAGCGTATCGGACTGGGGATCCAAGGTTTCGGTTTCAAGATATCAACATTATGTATCCATACACACTTCGCACTCTCAGCTGTGGGTGCATTATAAGAGTGGCAGTCAATCTTAATAATTGGCTAAGAGTAACCGCTTTATCTATAAAGCTATACCCTTGCTTTTTTTTTCTTCTTCTCCCTATCTCAATGTATATGTATACCCCTAGCAAATGCCTGATGAAACAACTCAAAGATATTTTTTTCTAAAAATAGTGATGAATTAATATAAAATGCGCAGTCAAACCAATTTCTTGGATCAGAACGCATGCGAAATATGATTGTCTAGTTGACGTTTTTTGTCATTCCATGTGTTATTTCATAAGGAAAATTGCAAAGGAGACTGACTGCAATGCATTGTTAGCAAATATATTTGGGTTTAGATGCAATGGATACATCCAGCACAATAGAGCGCTCAGATTCCCTAAGTAGCCGCGAGATTTTTTCAGTTGAATACCACCGTTCCTTGTCATTTTACTGAGCGCCATAAAAGACTGCTAACTAAGTGATCGCTTTTTGGCAATTTTTATTTCTGTAAGTGTCAATGGAGAGATATTAAGTTCAATTCAGATCAGTTTATTCGACATGATTCAATAAATTTCATGCATGTATATAATACCAACATAAATAAATAAATATATATATAAACCGGACAACAACAAATATATACACGAACACGTTCCTCTTTTCATGCGTTTTTTCATTTATGCTTCTACCTTCGAAATATTTTTTTCAATCAGTTGACGAATGAAGTACCGTTTATTGTGAAATTTCCTTACAAAAAAGAAACATTTTTACTCTTACAAGTTTTTATATTTTGTTGTTGTTGTTTCTACAGTCAACAGTTCAAGAGATAAATAGCGTGGCAGACAGTCAGACATATGTCTAGTATAAATATCGATAATATTTTCATTTTCTAGCTTTATTTTAATACTTTATATTAAACTTACAACTTAACTGTTTTCACAGAAATCACTGAAAACGGGCTATGTATAATCCGAATTTTCAAAGTAAAATTTTGTTTTTACATAATAACGTAATTATCCAGATAGTTTGAATTTGATGTCATTATACATTCATTAAAAAATATATTCCTTATATTATAATCAATACGCGTGAGTAAATGAATTTAGTAATGTAATGTCACGATTGTTTCAAATGAGTTAAGTATATTAGTGTGTGTTCATTCAAAAGCTGTTGATTTTTGTTGCTCTTTAGATTCATATCAACAATTCACCACATATGTTATTAGTGTGAAGAACCAAAACATCCTCTACCATAGGTGCTCATCTTTCAACGGAAAATTCGGTAAGAATGTTTTGTTTTTCGTTGTTGTTGTTTTCATTTTAACGTAAATACCTTTGTCTTTTCTCGATTAATATACCATATGGGATTGGCAGATGAATGAACTCTGGTCTGGCAGCTTGTCGAGGTCATGGCGCAGACGCCAAGCATACAGTTATTTTCTTTGAATATGAGAAACAAAAATATGCTGGAATATTAGAGTTACAACTAATAAAGATACAAGTTAATCAATAGGTGAGTTAATTCAAATGAAATAATATGATAATAGAGTAATGAAACACGAAGCTAGAACTAATTGAGTTAATTCAAATGAAATAATATGATAATAGAGTAATGAAACACGAAGCTAGAACTAATTGAGTTAATTCAAATGAAATAATATGATAATAGAGTAATGAAACACGAAGCTAGAACTAATTGAGTTAATTCAAATGAAATAATATGATAATAGAGTAATGAAACACGAAGCTAGAACTAATTGGGCTAGTTTGATACATACTCTGTTGGAACAAGGTACAAATGTTCTCCCACCCCGGTAGCTCAGCGTTAAGTTTACGGACTTACAACGCTAAAACCCGGGGCTCGATTTTACGCAGATCACAGAGCCTTGCGCTGAAAAATAACAATAAAATCAAGAACTAACTGCTCGACAAATTCAACAGTCACGAGTGAAAGAGCCGAGAGGGAAGTAGCAATAAACACTGTACTCGTTATCACAAGGCCTAAAACTGGGACAATAGAAACGTAGTTCCTTATTCTTCAAAGAAACGTTCTTTTTTATTTGTTTGTTTCTTAAATGCGTCCTGCCAATCTTCCGTACAAAGCTCTGTAGAATTGTATAAACCTTCACACTGCTAGTCAATATTTAGAAAAAAAAAGTCAGCCCAAATCCTGTAACAAGGTTGTGGTGCGTGCATTTATTACATTCACAGTCTTCTCTGATGAAAGATTATACATATATTTCAGATGACAGAGTGGATATTTTGTTTAGTCTGACTTCACAGTACTAGCGTTTAACATAAATAATACCTTCAGACAGGCTGTAGTAAGGCAAGTCATTGACAGAAATATTAACCACCTGAGTCAATAAAAATTAACAGAATAAAATGGTGTATAGCAAGCTAAACGTTGTAACAATGAAAATAAACCTCAGGCAGATTAAATAGATTTCACGTAATCTCAAACAATTTCTCTTTTTTGTGCCCTATTTAAAACTAAAATTTGCAAAAGTTTTCGCAATGACTTCACCAATAGAAACTCTAAAAGTAAGCACTTATTTGTTGCAAAAGAAACAAAATACTCATAAATTACTCAGCCCTCTAGTGGCTCAGCTGTAAGCTTAAGGGCTTAAAACGCGAAAATTCGAGGGGTTTTCTCTGCTGTGGGAACAGCGCAGATAGCCTATTTTGCAGCTTTGTGCTTAAATGAATTACACAAACAAACAGACAGCATTTTTATGATGTAATATAATTTAAGCATTTTAAACTATCGTAAGGCTGGGCCGAGTGTGTTCATGTTTCGCGTGCCGGACTGTGGATCTACAGGTCCAATATTCGCGTCCCGTTACCGTAGGTGCGTTATAAGGGTAATGGTCAAATCCCACCATTCAATCAGACAAGAGTAACACAAGAGTTGGTAGTGGACGATGTTGTCTAACTTTCTTCGCTCTAGACTATTACTTCAAAATTAGGGACGAGAGTCCTTGTGGAGTTTTGCGAGAATATATGCAAATAGACAAATCATCGTAAGAGAT